GTGATGTTCACATTTATTTCAGTTTCCACTTTGGTAATAATTTTGAAAATATCTACGCTGAATTAAAAGAGCCTTAAAATTTGATGGAAGTTGTGGGCGTGGAGGAAATGGAAGGATTTTCATTACATTTCTGGTGTGTAGCGAATATCCATGAGAGCTTCTTTCACATGCTAACAGAGGCAACGTAGAGGCTAATGTGCCAAATTCAAATGGAACTTGTGGGAGATGTTTAGATTTTTCTTTTCATTTTACAACTACAGAACATCTACCCCCCTCTCAAAGTCCATTGACACAATACCGTGGCATACTGAAGCCGATCTGTAGATTCCTATCGTCCAAAACCACTCTGTAGAAAAAAAGACATTAAGATGATTTCCTTTCCTGTCAGGAACCCCTTCACACCGGTTCTCTTGACCACCAGTTGAGCAGGTCCACTCTTAACCTGTACGACAATATATTAACCCTTTTAACTTGGCATTTGTATCGAGCAGTTATTCTAACCACAGAACTCATGAGGCAGCCTGTTCCCATTTTTTGGAGTGTGTTCATGTGTTTACTCCTAAGTAATAGTGAAAGTCCCCAAGGTCAACAGCTCGGCCACCACAAAGAACTCCTGCTCTGGTAATGTGAGCATTTTGATCTCCTGCCCACCCCTGCAGCCTCTGCAGATGGTTCACACCAGGAATGTTGCAGAGCACCATGGGATCCCCGTGAGTTGAGGGAACACTCTATTTTTAGGAGGTGCTGGAGCATGGCTCCTTGAAAAGGCATTTGAGATAAAGTTGCTTGTGTGTTCCGCTGTGTAGTAGCCTGTTGTTCCTTATTACATGTACTGTATATGTGCCTTAAAAGCCTTTTCATGTTGCAGCGTTGACTTGGTTGCTGCAGGAGATGCTGTAGAATTCTGTTTCTCCACTGCTGACGTGAACTTGGCATTGGGAGGTTTGAAATGTCCCAGTAGCCATCATGTATGTGTCAGTGTCTTTGAGACAAGACACTTTAATTTATTGTTAGCAGTGGAAGCAGTGGCCATCAGCCAGACAACAGACACCAGGAAGGCTGATGATATGGACAACTGGGCCCTTCAGCAGACAAGGCAGCAGCAGGAGCAGGGGTGGATGGGGGTGGGAGGGGGTAGGACACCACATACTGCTACATACAGTGTACATCATGTGGTGTCACAGTCACTGTCTGTTTCTTCGTAGAAAGAAAATTCATTATTTCCTCTCCATACTTCTCCTTAATTTCTTAAAAGTGATTTCTTTCTCTCTTATCTGCCCAACTCCATCTTCTATCCCCCCCAAACCTTCTTCATCTTTATGAACAGAAATGTTAAGGCACTGAGGTCCTCAACCTTTGACCTAATTTCTCTTAGTTGCTTAAAGCAGCAGAAATTCATTGGTGCAAAATATGCTCCTGATAAGTAGGACTGTACCGTTGAATTGACTCACAGCATTATATTTGATATGTTCCTCACTCACTACTGTTGGTGACCTGTGGGAGATAAATCTGTACCCTGTTAGCTGAATGTATCAACAATAAACAGGACACACTACTGGACTCTTATCACAGACCACCGGCAGACTGAACGTCCGAATGTCTGAGCTGGATTCTACATCTGGCCTAAAAGATCATCTCCTGTCTCCTCATCCCCGCCCCCTCCTCTTCTATTTGCTGTTTGAAGAGGAAGTAAAGACATTGGATTCCCCTCAACAGGTGCAAGGGTGCAGCATTGCACGCTGGGTCAGATCAGGAGGCAGAACCCCTCCCTGCTCCCCTGTGACTACCAGTCCCTGCTGCCTACCCTCCTCCCAATCCTGTCTCCATTTTGGACTGTTGTCTTTTCCAGATGGTTGCAATCAAGCCATTCTCAGGACTTTTTTTTTTTACGAGGACCCAGGACTTTCCCCTCCTAAATTCTTGTCTTTATTGGTTAGTGTGCTCATATGTACACACTACATGCGTAACTTCAATAAATACCCCACCTCGTACCAACACTAGAATATAGGCAACATTGTCCAAAATCCCTGTTTCTATCTTGATTCAGTTTGGGAGTCAGAGGTCAGATAGTAATCAAGACGTATGAAAACAGATCTGTGGTTTTTAGCATCATCCAAAGAAAACCCCTCTATAATTCAACTATATTTGCTGACCTCAAGAATGTTCTGTGTCACCACAATACATTTTTTCACTTTCTATTTGAATAAAAATCTGATTTGGGGATTATACTGTTGAATGTCTGGAATAAGGCCCAGATAAATAAAGTGATGTCGGGTTATCGTTCTAAAGATCAGAGGAGGTTTGGGAGGCTGTGTTTGCCACACACGCTACAAAGCTGAAACATGGCTTTGTTCCCCACTGTGGGTGAGAGGTCCTTGTAAAACTTGCAGAAGAATGTGTTGCTCCTGTGGGTCTGGATGGTCTGGTGGCTGTTCTGACTCTCCTGCCGAGTATCCCCAGCCAAGCAGGTCACAAATCAACAAATGTGTCTTTGTATTTTAGGGGAAAAAGTAGAAAAAGAAATGGAACCTAAAACAGGTATGATCTTACTCCCAAATAGTTTTCCAGTGTACCCACTGTTGCAGCAGTGAGGTGTGATGTGGCTTTGAAGCCACATCACACCTCACTGCTGTGAGAGCACCAGTGTCCAGAATGCTCCCACTGGCTTTTGGCATCCTCACAATTTAGCACTTTTATATGAAGTTTTGAAAATGATAGTGTCTTACTTGTGTTTACATTCCGTTAGAGTAAAGGTAATAAAAACTAGATATGTAGTGTGAATTCTTAAATAAATATTAAAGCTCCATATTTTCCTCTTCTCCAGCGTTTTATTTGAAGTGTTGATCCATAAGAAGATATATTTGTGGTTTTAAGAACCAAAAAGCATCTCAGTGTAGTTTTACATCTCCTCTCTCAGGCTGCTCTCTGGAGGGATCAGAAGAGAGGAGGCTCTGTGCCTCTCTTCTGATTGGCTGACTGATCCAATAAGTGAGTGATCCAATAAAAATATAGCAGATTTCAGGTAAACACTCAAAGAAACCAAATCCTGCAAGGTTGGATGGTGGGTCCAGGTGGGCGGGGCTTGGGGCCTGGCTGAGAGCAGTGACTGTTTAGTTGTGACATCACAAAGTTCCAGAAGTCCTGACGGCTGGTTTTAAGGCTCAGTGTCTGAATACAGGCTGTGTGCATTTCTCTGTGGACTGACGCTTTGATATTTTCACAGTGTTAATATAGAACCTAGACCTGATCTATAATCAAACAACACATGGACATCTACCTTTAGACTGTATGGACCTTTAATGGTTGGCTCATTTTTTTTAACTGGACACAGACAGGCTAGCTGTTTTCCCCTTCCTCCAATCTTTTTGCGAAGACGCGCTAACCATGACCGCAGCTCTGTCCTTAATGCATGAGAAAGACATTGTTTTTCTCAAGTTTATTTTCAAAAATGTTGTACCAGTACTTGAAAGTTACACTGGGGCATGTGTCAAATTCAAATAAGAAGTGCTTTTCCTTGTAAAGTACTTTGTAATCTCTGGTTTGATTGTGTTATACAAATAAACTTTATCATTGTTATTAACAGCTGGAGTGGGGAGGAAAAGGAAGTGACTTACTTTGATTAAATAAGTAATAAACGAAGTCCCAGCAGTTTCAAGTTTTAAAGTTTTCTGTTTACTTTATACGGGAAAAGTGTCATAGCGGGGGAGTAGGAAAAAAAACATAAAAACATTGTACATTTACTTTAATCTTAATCAAAATATTGTGCCAAAACAACACCCGATAAAAAATCCAATGACTTGAGCAAACCTGAAAGAGGGATGTCCAGCAGAAGCAAGTTGTTGGTGAGTTTCCAAAAAGCAGCTCAGTTTGGCTCACAGCTCTTATCCCTATGCCTCCCTCTCTCCCTGTCTCTTTCTCTAAATCAATTCATTTGATGATGAACCCCCCCCTTCTGAGCCCAATTACCAGTAACCATGGAGGCCTGATGAAACCGGTCTGACGACACAAATGTTTCCTGAGAACACAAAGGGCCTTTTATTCAGCTGATGCCCCAGTCAGCACTGAGAGGCTGATCAGTGTGTGATCACTCTGTCGGGGTTATGATGAAAGTGGATAAGGGTGAGGTGTACTGATGAGCCTAGCACGTTGTGTGCTTAGCCTGCTTGTGTCGTCACGGTTACTTCTGGGATTGTACTATTGTGTTGTTAGGTTTTTCATCGCTGCTGTTGACATCATTTTCCCGGCACACTCTCCTTCCTGTGTGGAAAGTGACTGGGATCAAACACAGTTATGACAAAGTTATGACATTCATCCAATATCAGGGTTGATGTAGACTTTCTAGGTTTTCTACTTTGTGTGTAACATTGTTGGGACCTTTTTCGGAACCAAAAACTTTTATGACAATAATGACATATGACACAACAAAATAAAATATATATGCGTTTATTAAAGTAAAAGTCTGGATCTTGAAGCTTGAAGACCCAGATGGGGACAAACATACAGTGTATAGATCAAGGCGTGACTGAAATGATGCAGATATTTTTGGATTGAAGCTACTCTCAAGCAGTTTCTTATATTACTTTTTTATATACTTACATACTTATATATTTTCATGGCAAACATATTCAGAAACATCCAAATGTGCAGTAACTTCCTCACAATATTTTTCTTTTTTTGGCTGGAATATCCTTTAGGTCTCTGTTGTCTAATTGCTGATTTATAAAGTGTCAAATGCACCGCTTAGCCTTTCCTCTTATTCTGGAATAGCCTTCATTGTATATGGCCCTCCAAAGGCAGAGCTACAGTCTGAGGGGCCCAGGGTAGTGCTACAGTAAAATGTGATGACAGAAACCAACCATGGGGGCGTCTGTAGTTTTTGTTAATTGTCTTGTTAATTGTTAAATCCATATGTCTGTACACATCAACTCTACACATTGTTCCAAATGTACTAGAATAACATGTAAACTCGTGGTGTCCCTCTCTCTGTCTGTCTCCTGAAGTGTTTCAGCAGCAGGCGGTCCACAGCCCTCTGGAGCAGCAGAAGCAGAGGCAGAAGCAGAAGCAGGGTGGAGGGGGACCCATCCCCTGTCAGAACTGTGGGCTGCCCTGCAAAGGAGAGGCCCTCCGAGTTCAGAACAAACACTTCCACATCAAGTGCTTCGTCTGTAAAGGTATGTAACGCTCAAATTAAAATCAGCTCTGCACTGTCACCCCAAACTTGCAGCTCTCTGGAAAAGCAGAAACACACCCTCTGGGTGAATCAGCACTCATTAAGGATGCCATGAACAGGCAAACGGAATGTGGACCTTTTGTGAATGTCTGACTGTAGAATATGTACCCTTGTGTATATGAGGCTCATAACAGGCTCTTGTCATGTCCACGTGAAGGAAAGAGTCCCATGGGTCTGTTGGGGAAAAACATTTATCAAGCAGAAAAGACACTGATGGGTCAGTGAGCAACTATGGGAGAATGAGGATGAAGGTTTTTTAAATAAAGAAGACTAATTGACATATTAATACAGACCTTGACTCTCAAAGAGAAGATCTATCTATCTATCTATCTATCTATCTATCTATCTATCTATCTATCTATCTAATATGGAGTAGATGAGACTAGTTAAGAGCTTTTTGTGAAAGAGATTCTATCATAGGCCTTTGGAAGAATAAAAAACTCTTATGTGGTATTTTTTGTGGCAAAGACGTCTGGTGACCTCATGTAATAGTCTACACTGTAACATTCATCTCCCATAGATTTGCTCTGAATTGAGTCTCAAAAGTACAGGTCAAAGTGTGTCCTGCATCAGTTCGATAGCAACACAATTTTTAGTTTCCAATTACAGGATGATTCCATAGTTTAGGCATCAGCATGGCGTAACATGAAGTGGGTGTAACTGTAAAGTGGGTGTAACTATAAAGTGGGTGTAACTGTAAGTGGGTGTAACTGTAAGTGGGTGTAACTGTAAGCATTGCAGGCTGCAGTCACATCCTTTGCACCAGGACGTTCTGGTGTGACCAGGCCTCTATTTTGTTGCACTACAACTTCTACTAATAATGATAATAAAAATGATAAAAATAATTTTGCGGGGATCAGTCAAGGTTTAGCACTAACAAGAGGCCACAATCAATTAAACCCACCCTTGTGACCAGTATTGAATCTTATAATATAAAGTCATTTATAATTAGATTGTAATTGAGCAATAAGAAGAAATCCATTGAGAAAGTCAATACTGATGGGTCAGTCAGGTCTAAGTAATTACAGAGATAATGTAGGTGTGGGTTACATTGTGTGTGTGTGAGCAAGAGAATTGCAGGTGTGTTTTGTATTTCTGGGTGGGTGTCGGATACTTGACATGTGAGTGTGTTCTATATGTGTGTGGTTGTGGTTGGAGGTGGGTGTTGGACTTTTTTTTGCACGTGACTGGACTTTATACGATTGTGTGTGCGCCTCTCCCAGCCCGGACTCTCAGCACAAGCCTGGTGTCAGTCCGCTGTTGTTGTCAACACACACCCCGGTTGCTAGGCTACCGGCGGGGTCGCTACAGTGGCAGCTTCCTGGAGTTTATCGCTTTTAATCTTACACTGACCAGCAGACTCCCTGTCTGTACACCCCCCCCACCCCACCCCCACCCCCCTGAATGAAACAGCAGAGTGTGAGTAATCCTATGATGCCTTAATAATGTATCTGCAGTGTAAGAACTGCAGATAATGATCAGCTTATTTGAGCCAGGTCTTAAAGGATAATTACAGTTTATTGGATTTGGAATTTATTATCACGGTTTTAGCCATTACTCTTAGCAGTAATAACAACATTGTGTGCTCATAGAGGAATAGTGAAGATCTGGGAGCATGGTGTCATCACCATGAGGAAAGAGTAACAAGAAGTCACTTAGTTGGGTAGTTAATATTTGCAGCCACTAGATAACAGCTTATAAGGAGTGCTGATATATTGCGAGCCACCAGCACTGGTGGAATTCATCTTCATACGTGCACTCATGTACTGTGTTGAGTACAACTTTAAGATACATACTGTGTACTTTACTGTCGTTTTATGTGAGTTTTCTTCTCACCAGAAGTAATGTGACGGCGGAAAGAAATACGATCGGTCAACTAACAGACCAGTCAAATTATACAGCAGCCACAACTTCCTGCTCTCTCTCTCTCTCTCTCTCTCTCTCTCTCTCAAAGTAAAATAACATTTTTCTGATTTGACAAAAAATGATATTCCTGAGCGTTTGACCCCAAGACTACTGTGTGAGAGTGAGGAAAAGACTGGTGGATGAAAACTCTGAAAAAGTACAAGGACCTTGTGTTAAGATTTTTTGTCAGCTACTATTTTATCTGGGTCATGAATAAACATTCACACTCAAATGCAAGAATAGCTCAATTTTACTTAAAGCCATGATATGTTTACTACGTTGACTTCATTCTGTTCATTTGTTGCTGCTCATTAAAAAGGCCTGTAGAGCAGAGAATGGCTTTGACCGCAGTGTGCTGTGTGGTAATGTGCAGCTGTCACAGACTGACTCTGACTCTCTGTTCTTTCATCAGCAGCTTTTACGTTTAACTTAAACAGAAATGAACAAATTGTGATGCGTACATGCCTCGGGTCACACCTACAAATTCAGCAGATGTTATATAACTTGAAATTCATTATTTCAAAGTTACTGCAGCTCATGGTTAACAGCACAGAGAGCACGTTTTCTTCTTTGGATGAAATTATTCGGCTTTCTTTCAAAAGTGTTTAATAAGGAAGTGTGGGGCTGGCTAATTTAATGCCAGGCATTCAGGAGGTATATTAATACCATGTAAACACAACAGTCAGAGGAGCTGTGTTGGGGAGCCGCTGACTCCACCCAGTTCACACAGAAAATGCCTGGCCGTTCCTCCTGTCCGTAAATCCAAAGCATGACCACATTAATTGAATTTCCAACTCATTTGGGTTATTAAATGTGCTGATTACCTCAGCACTGCAGAGGTTAGATGGAGAGTTGGGTTGGGTAGTTTGCTATTAAAACTTCCAGATGTGGGCTGACAGGAAATAAAATAAACCATAGCAGGTTGAGTGGAGATCAGGTTGTTTCTGCCGTTCAAACCTGAACATCAAAGAGAGGAGAAGACAGCTCAACACAGCGTGAACTTAGATGTTCGTTTTTTTTAGCACATTCTTCATACAGTGGATAATAGAACCAGGTGAAATATTTCCCCCTATTAGTCTTTGATTTAAAGACCATAAACACAGCGCATTGAGGGCTACCTCACCTCTGACCATCAGAGATATCAGGATTAACCTGGAAGATAATCAAGCCGTTGACCCCTGACTCTGCTGCTGTATTATCGCCAATTACAACCAGCCTGGGTGTTAGCCAGCAGGCTAACAGTGCCAGGGAAGTGAGGAACCGTCAACTCTCAGCTAGCCATGTGTAATTAACACCGAGCAGTGAGGAGGACTGGACTAATATGAGTTAATATTAGCCTCTTCAGCATTGGCTTCATGTCAATGTAGCTCTGGTTTGCAAATAGTAAACACAGTCTCAGTGTTTTTAGCAACATGCACACCTTAGCTTACTGTTGGAGCACGGCTGGATTAAGAGCCTGGGGTGTCCTGCCCCCCCCCCCCGCTTTACATTATTTGGCAAAATACAAATTTACATAGTTGTAAGCACCAGGTAAAGGAAAAAAAATGAAAGATGCAACTGACACAGTGAAATGGCAGTTAGATTTGGTCTGATTGGGGCATAGGTGAAATCATGGCTCATCTGCTGGCCAAGACCTACAAGCTGATGGTCAAGTGTGGTTTTACCCTGAAGGAAGCTTAGATGTGTTCTGGCGCGGGACAACGGATCTCTCAGAACCTCCACAGAGAGCAGCAGGAGCAACCAGCATCTTCTGTTCCTGTGGCAGTTGGGCTCTTTAATGAGCAACGTTGATGCGATTGAACTTTTATTTGTATTATATAATATTTATTGTATGCAGGTTACTTATGCTACTATTGTCTCCATACTGTTTATATTGGTACATTTGCACTGTTGGTCTTCATGATGTTGTGTTTCATCTAACTCTTTGCTGTCACTGACGCTCCCTCTGTTGTTGTAAGGACCCGTGTACTTTCCCTCAGTGACTCTGTCTGGTGTCATTGATCGTGTGTATTTGTCTCTGTCAACTTATTGTATTTGTCTGGTGCCAAACCAGGTTCCCCTCTTGGAATTAATATAAAGTTCATGCTATCCTATCCTGACCTGTCCTATATGATGGGAGGGGGGCCCCTCAAGGCCCCTAACAGTTGCAGGGTTCTAAGACAGTTACTGTTTAAGAAATAACTGCATAATACAGTTGAAATACACATCTTTAGCACCTGAACTGCTACCATTCTCTCCTGAGGCATGTTTTCTGGGCTTTATACTTTGTAAATAATGATTTTTTTTTCATGTTAATGACTGTTAATTACAGGCATTTTATCAATAGTGCAAGTAAAGTTTTAGCCAGAGATTTTTCACAACCAGGCAAGACTAAAGTTGTTCTAATAATAAAGTATCTATCTATCTATCTATCTATCTATCTATCTATCTATCTATCTATCTATCTATCTATCTATCTATCTATCTATCTATCTATCTAATGAATGGCTTATTACTAATCCATAAAGAATTGGCAAATTATTATTAACCATTAATAAAGACATTACTTAACACAAACATTTTTAAAATAAATCATAGTAAGGTTCGTCAAACTGTTAAAATTATATTCAAATTATTATTTTTTAAACTTTGTTAAATATTTTTTGAAAAAACAAACAATCTCATCACTTGGTCCATTTAGTAGCTCTGGAACTTTAGATCATATCACATGGCCTTCATCAGCATCTGGAGTTTGCCCAGTTGTCATTGAATTGTAGATGTTTTCAAACAGTGGAATTCATTTGTGTTTAACCCACTGTCATGTTGTTGGTACATGTTTTATACTGACAAAATCCCACACAGTAGCTTTAAGCACTGCAGAATATGATGAGCACTAATTGCTGTTTTCATGCTAGCTGTCATCAACACCAAGCTGTGAGGGTTGAGGCAGTGTGTTTTATTTAGGTACCAACTGTGCCTGTCTCTGTCTTCTCACATGCTTTGATGACACTGAGCCCATCGATAACAGAGAGCTGCAGACGAAACTACACAGCAGCT